ACCGTGATGCTTAATTCACTATCGAATCGTGTTGCTAGCCACGCAGGTACAAATAATTTATTTCTACGTAGGTATCCAATTAAGTACTTGAAATTCCGTGAGGTGTTTTTTTTTTTTTTAAATAGCAATACATAATACTGAATAATATTGTGGAACAGCCATTTTGGGGTCCCAATTAGAGATGGGTGCGGTACTAAATATTCAATTCCGCTCCCGATCCCATCCTTACCGACCTACAGTTTTTAGGTCTCGAACCCGATGTTTTTCAGACTTATACCACGGGCTCCGATATCTATAATACGTAGCTGTTTTTCTGCCGTTCGGTTTTGTATAAATCGCTCAATCTCAGCCGATGGTCGAAGAACGCTTCGAAAGCGCCCTTTACCAATATAAATTCAATATATCGGCAGCCGAGATAGGGCATTTTTGAACTATTTGCTGTGATAGGGAGATACATACATATATTGTTTTAAGGAAGATTTTCTGATATTTTGGAAGTTGCTGAATTTATCGGGAGTGTCGGGAACGGATTTTTTCGCGTCCTTCGCTCAAATTTTGAAAGACCTTCCCCATACCGGGCGGTATCCCGGTCGTTTAAAAGTAGTATCGTGTGTGCCGCGGGTTCCGCCCATCTCTAGTCCGAACCAAACTATACCCTAAGAATAATTAACACAAGTGAAAATCAAACCCTAAAAGGATTTTGCCCCACCTCATCCCACGTGTTTTATATGTATGTACATTAGGGTGGTCCAAAAATGCGTGTGAAAAAGTAAAGTCGGAATTTTTATGCTCTCAACCCCTAGGATTGTTCTACTATACCGAAAAAAAATTACCCTTTTTTAATTCAAAAATTATTTAGAGGTCGCTCAAAGCGCCCAAAGTTTTCCATGTATTTTATATGGGGGAAAACAGCTTTTCGTGGAAATGGTATAGAATAGTTAAAAATCAATATTTTTCTACCAGAAAACTCGGTTTATCTGCAGGAGATTCCCGATAATAATAGCCAATTGTTTATTTAACCATTCTTTCATCGCAACTATAATTTATAGGTCCGCCAAAAACCCACAAAAACCACGAAAAATGCGACGAGGAGACCAATAAAAAATCGTTAGTATTAAAAACGGGTTAAATAAACAATTGGGTATTATTACTGAAAGTCTGCTGAAGAGAACCAGAGTTTTCCGATCGAAAAATATTGACTTTTAAAAATTCTCTATCATTTCTACGAAAAAATTTATTTTTCCCATATAAAAATATGTACATGGAAAACTTTTGATTTCAAAATAAAAAAATAGGGGTATACTTTTTTCGATAAAGAATCCTAGGGGGTGAGAGCATTACAATTCCGACTTTACTGTTGGACCACTCTAATGTACATACATATACTGTCGCCATTAATGCATACAAAAGGGCCTAATTCAAATTTTGTTGGAAATGTGCGTTTTTTTAGTTTTTCCAGTTACTCTAAGATTTATCCAAGCGTCAAAATTTAAAGAGTGGTTCAAAAACGTTTGGGAATTGTTGGTATTTTTAGAGCATCAGAGCAAGTATTTCCCTCTTTGTTATTTTTTAAGGCTTTTCGATTATCGTATAAAATTAGAAATAGTTAGTACGGGCCTTTGGCAGTGATGGTAACGATAAGTTGCTTAAAAAATGCTGCAAAGTCAAAAAATACTGGGGCGGGAAAACAAGGAGGTACGCGACATTTTAATAAGTTTGGGATATTTTTCTCTTGTTTATTTAATGTTAATTATTTTTATTATTAAAGTATAGCTCAGTGTCTAACAAAAGCTATGCAAGTCGAAAATTCAAACTTTGTGCAAGATTTATAAACATTCTTCTAACAAAAAAAAAATTGTGAAGTTTTGTAACCCATTACATTTTCGTAGGGTGCAAGTTCGCAGTTGCGAGGACATACCGTTGATTTTTGGCAATTTTTTTTTTGCAACTGTGTTGTGCATTTTCCTCCAAATAAAATAATTGTCGAACATAATTTATATGGGAGAAAATGCGTGACACCATCAGCAAAAAATATATTATTGGGCTACAAAACTGCATGCCAAAATTTTTTTTTAAGAATTGTGCTTTAAAAGTTTGAAATTTTGATGAAACTTTGTAAAATTTTTTCTAAATTTTGTATAAAGATTTTAATTCGGACATATGTACATGACATTTGTCTAAGGAAGTGAGCTATACTTTCACACAAAAATAGTGAACATTAAAAAACAAAACATAACCACTTACGACTTATTTTCCCGCCACTGTATTTACATATTACATTAGAGCGTGTCACGTAAACACTATGAGAGGATTTTTTCAAGCACCCAATAAAACAGCTAAGTTGGAGTTTGCTCATAGACCCTAAATAGTATATAACCCCCCCATGGTTTGGGTGGTATGCAACTGTAAACACATATCATCATATATCATATATATATATCATATGTATGATATATCATATATCATGTCATACGGGTAAGACTTTCTTTTTCATTAAAAATATATTTTTTGTATTTAATTTAATGATATTAACTGTTGAGTACAGGGTGCCACTTTTATAATAGTCTCGTATGTATGTTTATGTATTTACTTAAAAATCATTTAGTATATACTTGGCACCACAGATGATTCTATTTTTGAAATTTTTTATTTCCGTTGGGGAAATTAAGTTATTTAAAACAAATGCGCACATCCCATAACAATTGGGTTTGTCACACTAATCTGGTTATCTGGTTATGTGGTTATATTTTTTTATTCAGTTTAATTTTTAACCAGATAACCAGATAACCAGGCAAGTGTGAACAACCCAAATATTAAGTCAGGAATAGATTCCCGGAATATGTCATACACAAAAATCTATATGTTCTAACCGTTTATCAAAGCCCAGCCCAGATTTTTATACCCGAGCGCACTTGTGCACAAGGGTATATTAATTTTGTTCACATAACGGTTGTTTGTAACAGCCAAAACGAATCGAGATAGATATAGACAAATGTATACATAAATGATCAGGATGAAAAAAGAAATCGATTAAGCCATGTCTGTCTGTCCGTCCGTCTGTCCGTCTGTCCGTCTGTCCGTCTGTCCGTGTACACGATAACTCGAGCAAAAATTGAGATATCTCAACGAAATTTGGTATGTAGGTTTCCCTTAATCCAAGGTAGGTTGGTATTGAAAATGGGCGAAATCGGACTTTAACCACGCCCACTTCCCATATAACGGTAATTTCCAGAAATACGAAAACTGCGATATTTTAGTAACTACTGAAGATAATTCACTCAAAATTGATATTTACAATAATTTTTAGACGAAAAATAAGAATATTATAAATTTTTGGAAAATGGGCGTAGCCACGCCCACTTATGGTTACATGTGTATATCTTGGTAACCGCTGCACCAATTTCTTCCAAACTTGGCACAGTTGTTGGCCTTGGTACAGCATAAAAAACCGCCGAAACTTTTTAAAATCGGACAATAACCACGCCCACATCCCATGTAACGGTAATTTGGAGAAATACGAAATCTTTGATAAATCAGTAAATACTAAAGCTACTTTATTCAAAATTGACGCAATTGTAACAACTCTTTACCAAGAAATACGTTTATGATAAAATTTTGTAAAATGGGCGTGGCATCACCCACTTATGATCACATATATGTATCTCGGTAACCGTTCTACCAATTTGTACCAAACTCGGT